GCTTTGACAACCTTTAGTTTTTCTGGGGATAGTCGCCTCGGCTTTGCGAAAACTGGCGGGCCAGTAGTGACAATATGGTGTTTGACGTTGGAAGTCGCACATGGCAGGCCGCTGCTAGGTTTGAACAAATCTGAAAAAGACTGCAGTATATGCGAATAAGGACCAGTGCTAGTGGGTGTGGCATATACCGGGCTGAGGGCTGGGCCTTGTGTGACGATACCGCTGACGGAGAGGTTTGTGACAGGATCTTTTAACTTATGATTACCTGTATCTACCAGTAATTGGTAGTGCTGCAATAGATCCATGCCAATTATACCTGTGGTAACGTCTGCCACCAGGAAGACCCAACGAAGTGAACGACGCAAACCGATGTTAAGATCTATAAAGCGCCTGCCGAACGTAGCAATTGGCGAACCGTTTGCGGCTCGTAGTTGAAGAGACATTGGCCGCCTGCGCTCCTCTACTGTGGGTGGGATTACACTGACCTCTGCTCCGGTATCAATTAGGAAGCGTATCCCAGTGTTACGGTCGGTAACATAGAAGAGGCGACATGAGAGTGGTTCGCCAGCGACGTTAGTCGCCAGTACGTGCTGGCTTGCTAGTTTCCCGACTGTTGAACATCGAAGGTGCACGGGCGAGTGCACTTTTGGGCTTTTGCTCCGTAACGTCGATGATACCAGCACACTCCAGGCTGGTTACTTCGGGACTGTCGGCGCTTGCTGCTAGCACGTGGCAAGGGTCTACTACTACGCGAACTCGAGGGACTGCGTCCACGACTCCTGGAGTTCATCTCCTGTCGTATACTACAGATCTCCTCGTATAGCTTGGCTATATGGGCCACCGCGTCAAAGCTTGATGACCCCCCATCAGACGAATCTTTAGTCTGAGCGGGAGCAGCAGTTACTGTTGCGGAAATGCCAATTTTGGGATTGATGGCCTCTACGGCTCTATCAGCTGCCTCGGCTATCTCCTGTAAGGGGTACTTGTGTGGTGAGAGCAGGCTGCTAGCCGATTGGTTGGCACTAATCTACGTTAAGGTCTAGGTCACTAATATGGGCCGTGAGAAAATATGAACAAGCCTGAGTCAACAACCAATCACAGCAAAGTTAACGTGGCAAAATATGATTCGCAGATAGAGAACTCTATTTGTCAAGGAATCCCGAAACAACCAATCAGAAGCCTGCGTTTGTCTACCTAAACAACCAATCAGATGACTGCGCTTGTCTATAATAATGTAGTTGAAAGATGTATAAATACGTGTTGATTTTCATAATAAAACGATCTGTTGCCTGGCCCTTGTCTTCTGTTGTTACATTTGGTGTCGCTGCCTACCGACAAATGAAAAGCCTATACCCTGCAGTTTTTGATGGAGACATATGGATCTTCGGGCAGGACTTCAAGGCTTCTGCGCAGTTGAGTGGCGTTCAAGATCTGTCAGCGATGGAGCTGCTACTTGAGGCGCTGCTGGGAGGTCGGGTGAAAGCAGCATATGAAAGTGTGAGCCGAAGTATGGACGAATGTTCGACAGGGTCAGGCAAACAGTTTCCAAAGTGGGAAGGACCATATATGGTCACTTCGAGATGGGGTTACGCAGACACAGTCGCAATGGCGAACAATAAGATGCGCGTGAACGTCAGCGAGCTCCAGAAACGGATACAGCGAGACAAGCCAACGATGACGCCTGCACCAAGTAGATCAAGCCGACTTCAGTCGCACGTATTTGACGGGGGGACGAGTGTGGTGAGAGCAGGCTGCTAGCCGATTGGTTGGCACTAATCTACGTTAAGGTCTAGGTCACTAATATGGGCCGTGAGAAAATATGAACAAGCCTGAGTCAACAACCAATCACAGCAAAGTTAACGTGGCAAAATATGATTCGCAGATAGAGAACTCTATTTGTCAAGGAATCCCGAAACAACCAATCAGAAGCCTGCGTTTGTCTACCTAAACAACCAATCAGATGACTGCGCTTGTCTATAATAATGTAGTTGAAAGATGTATAAATACGTGTTGATTTTCATAATAAAACGATCTGTTGCCTGGCCCTTGTCTTCTGTTGTTACACTTGTAGATCGGTGCTAAGATACCCTGGACTGCCTGAGGTAATCTTTGAAGCCAAAGTTGTTTGAGAAAAACCTCGTCAATTTTAAAGTCCGCCACTAGCTGCTTCATCTGCCTCAACATTTGTGAGGGCTTGCGGTCACCTAACTGAACATCGCGGAAAAGTTCCTGCACTTTCTGTTGGTCAGTAAGTGCGACTCGTTGAATTAACGCCTGTTTGAGCCGCTCGTACCGATCCAGAGACGGATCTGCGAGAACGTCAGCCACCTCGTCTATGACACTTTCGGGTAGGCTCACAATCACGTGGTTTATTTTGGTCTCTTGTGAGTGTATGTGTCTAATGGCAAACTGAGCCTCTATATGATTAAACCATGCAGCTAGACGATGTGTCCAGAAGGCGGGGAGTTGCAGCGTTATAGCCATCTCTGACGCAGAACTGTTGTCAGCCATCTTGCACACAGGGCACAATATTAACAAGGTGATAAAAAAACCAATATAAGTACAAAGAAAACAAATCGAATCTTTATAACCGTGCGTGAAAGAAAAAAAATAACAAAATAAACGGTACGAAAAAAGAATCGTTAACACGTTAAACTACTATAGCGGAAAACGGTGAAAACGGGCTCACCACTTGTAAGAGTTCTACTACGGCTTAGAGTGCACCTATACTCTAAACACCCTTACCAACTTCTTCACCGTTTTGCGACCTGCTAAGCTTAGCAGTACACTACTCGACGCGCAAATACTGACGGACTGTATCGTTGTAAAAAGACTTGATGTGACAAGAGTACCTGGGAGAATTATATTTTATTCAACGAAATATAAAATTCAATAAATAAAGAAGTCGTACAACTTATCTGCAGACGTTGCTGGAGGTAGGCTCGGAGAGTGTGCAGAAAGAGAGCACAACAAGAGAGCGAACCTATGAACGTACGGAAGACTCACAAGTCAAAAGGTAAAACGTGGATCACCGTGGGTGAGTCAGTTTAAACAAAAGTTCAAAGGTACAATGTGCACTACAGTTCTAAGGTGGGAATGTAGATCACAGGGAGCTTTGAAACGAAACATCACTGGATTAGGAGATAGTTGTGTAATACGTGGAGACAGGTTTGAATGGGGTGTTTTCTTAGCTGAAGGTAAAAACATGATAGAAAAGTAAAGAAGCACAAACTAAACTTAAGGATTTTATTTTGATAAATCAAACAGTGTTATACAGCAATAGTGACTGATGAGATTTCAGGCAAAAACTATTGCTCATAACCATACCAAGTCACTCACACAACTTTTTACTTCATTTATATACATGAGCGAAATTGATTAGACATTTGAATAAAAATCAGTATGAGATAATGTTCATTCAGAAATAATATCAGTGTTATCAATCAACAAAAATGACTCAATACAAATACCACAGATATGGAATGTATTATTACCACCAGTCAAATCACAGGAGGATAATAAATAATCTTAAAATTATATTTCAACTGACGCACATCATAACATTCTAACAAATTACTTACTTTGACCATAGAGATATCTTATTTCCCATCTGATTCTATTTGATCAATAACACTCATATTATTGCTTCTGGATGTACGTTATCTTATTTTGACTTTTATTCAAATGTCTAATCAATTTCGCGCATGTATATAAATGAGTTGAAAGGTTGTAAGAACGACTATGAGCAGCAGTTTTTCCTCGAGAAGTTGTCAGTTAAAATCACTGTATAACACTGTGCGATTTATCAGAATAAAATCTTATCTATGATGGAGTTATACTCAACCTCAGTGCCCAATTTTTAGATTTATATCCATAAACTTTAGCAGTCGAACCGAATTAGATCCAGGGCGAATGCTAATTGTGAAATAGATTCTTTTGAACACGCTTTTGGCTTTCGATTACTGAGCTTCTGCAGCAAATAGGGGTCGAATAGCAGTGTAACACACTAATTGCGTTTTAGTCCTAGCGATTTTCTCAAGCCGACCACGGATGGTAGTGTGGAACGAAATTTGGTTTCGAAACGTTTTTTGCGGCTAGGTTTTTTGGTCAGACCACCAGCGTGCCAAATAGTTTATCTGTCTTTGGTTGACTGTGATAATTTCAGATTAACTGAGACTTTCTTCAAGGAATCCTTAATGCCTTCAGTTTGTACGTCACTGATCTGTCAGCTGACTCAGTTTCATTTTAGACTATTAACTAACAATATGGTTTTGTTTTTCATTCACTGGGAAATACAGAAAGCTTTATTGTAATGAATACTAACTAACAAGCATCGTTTTTTGTGCTGGACTGATTTATGTGGGCCAGGGACAAGAATTCTCTGAAAAGGATTCATAGTATATAGGTAGGGTGTTTATATGACAACTAGAGCGTATCTATTCTTTACAATATGCCACTTACTGAATGTATTAAGTGCCTTAAAAAATACGATGGGTGAAGTGTTACAATGACACATATGCGAATATACTAAAGTGTTTATCACAAGGATCTAATCTCTGCGATAAAACAGCAGTGTACCCACAAACACTGGGGTGTTGATAGTGACAATTTCCAAATGTTGCATTTCATTATCAACCGCGAACACTCGTCTCTGATGCGTGTGGTAGCAGTACGCACATATACAGATGTTGAAACGAGCCCCCTCGCCGGAATTACAGAACTGACATGCATTCCAGCTAATAAGTTACAGACAACTTAAGTAACCACTAGGGGTATTGATGTGCTTGACATTACAAATCATAATAAACAAGTGGGAGATGGTTCCACATCGAATAGATTCCATGTAAATGCATAGTTGTAAGTGTAAATTAGGTTCTTAAAACTGTTATTTAGTTATTACATGGTTAAATATTCAATATCATCGCAGTGATTGTTTGTTTGTTTATATCCACCATACTTGCGAAGCCTTACAGTTAGCAGTCTTTCAATTTGAAGGACACATGGTTTGTTACATTCGACTTTACTACTTTTTGGTTTATAGATTTATCTGGTTTTAATTTTTCTTACCGTTCACTGTATTACTTCAGTCCCTACCGTAAGTGGTACTGGCGATGAAGAGGTGAGTTTTTCAAATTGTTTACCCGGTAATTAACTTTTTGCTCAGTTATAAGTCACATTACCTTTATTACACCATAATTCCATGTTTTCTACATGTAACTTTAATTGTTTCACATTCTTCCGTGTCTGTTTGGTCTGGTTTTTATTCGCCTGAGTCTTTGAAATTACGGATACTTGCTGGTGAGTTGATTCGGAACTCGATTGAATATTCAACTATCATAAGGATCGTGTAGGAAATTTCCAAGGTTTCGATGTTTTTTGTCCATATATTCTTCCATTGCATTCTGGGGCTTTCCAATTATCGTCTATCAAATTGGCTATTTAGATGAATCCTCTATTTTGTCAAATACATAAATTCGAAATCTGTAGGATTGTTCGGAACTGTGGCAACAGAGGCTGTCGCGGTAAATTTTCTACAACTTCCTACTACATTTAGACCGGTATTCCGGTTGACGGTTGTTGACGGGATCGGGCATTGTCATTGCTACCAGTTTTTCGTCCATAATTGAACCCTACTTGGTTTTGATAGATTACTAAATGTGAAGGACGATAACTAGTGGTAAACTGCCTGTGTTTCTGCAGGTTGGTGTATTAGGTGTCACGAGGTTTTCACTTTAGCCTTTCTGTCTAAAGCCTGATTTGGAATTTAAGGAGAATCTAAGGGCATTTCGGACGCAATAAATCATTTGTATGGAATTGTTAACAAAAGTTAGATAGCATTCAGCTCTTACAACGTTTCATTGAGTTCCACATAAGATCATTGTTGGTGTTTAAACCTTTATTACTCTCTCCTTCAAATATAATCAGTGACTCATGTAGTTCAGAAGCTGTTATAATAACTAAGTGTGGTATGCTGGCAGTAGCAAATGTTCATTGATGTATTTTTCACAGTTTGACGAATTGACCCTGTATGCTCTTGTGCCAAATAAGTCATCATTCACTTGATGGTAAAACTACAGCAGTTACTATGTAGTTTGTTTATGCTATGGTGAACGTTTGAAATACAAGCCCGACTGCTGATTGTGCAGCGATCTGTTCGCAATGAAGGCTTTATGTACAATTGGCAGCAAAAGCTGTGTCTTAATTAAGTTAGAGGTACTCGGGCAGTTTTTGTCCATTATTTTATATCGAAGAAAAATTGCGTAGGGTGTTGAGCAAGGTCATCTTAAATTGTATTCTTAACATACAAATTATTACAATGCATCTGTTTCCAGTTTTGTATAACAACTTTTCTGTGAAGTATCAAAGTGGTGAAACGGATCTGCCTCAGTGAAATTAGGATGTCATGGTTTAATTGCGTTTTTTAATCTGTTTATATCCCTTGACGATATGCCACTGGATGAATGAATAAGGTACTAGTCTTTTAATACTGTCTAACGAAGTGCCACGTAGTTTCAGCTTCGTGTTTGATAATTCCGTCTTCCAAATAAACTCCAGAATGGCACTGAAGTGTTGCCCTAAGAAGTATTTATACTTGGCATGGGACATTCATTTGCGTTATTTAGCCTGAGGTCATATAACTACTGAACTCCGGATGTTATAGATTTATGTCATCATATAATCTTTCGTATTCTATTCTACTTGTGTTTACTCTATGTAACTGTGTTCTAAAGTTTGAAACATTTTATCGATGCATCGGAAAATTCAACTAACGCAGAAGAGTTTGCTGCCACATTGCTTTACAAATCCATTATCCAAAATCTAACCAAATCTTACCATGGCAACAATCTTTGGTCCCATCAAACTTACAGCCTCTATCTTTGTATTCTTACAAAATAACCACTAGGTTTACAGACAGTAGATGGTTGTCGAGGCACTAATTTCAAGTTCCTCAGCCTAGGTATTTAATAGTTGACTTATACGTCATTTGTTTAATCTGCAGAATTACAGAATGCCAAAAAGCATCACCACTTGTCAAAAACGGGTCTTATTAGTTACATGGTGCACCTTCATGTGATTATCAGATTAAACTGTCTTACGCATTTGTTTTCTGTCTTTCATTATTGAACCATATATTTGCCATAGTTGTATTACCTGTAGTGTATTGTAGAATAGATTCAGCGAAAGGTATTTCAAATGATAAAATGTCCTTTGGCATCACAAAGAAGAACGGGTCGCAGCAGAACGACTCATAGAAGACATCACTGCGAAATACTGTGAGATACCAATCTAAGATAATACGTAGTGTGATGACTTCTGCATAATGAATTCCAGGCTATTTAGTCAAGATCTTTGAGATATTAGAAACTAGTGGGTTGATTCTCTGTAGTTGTCTTCAGTAATACAAAACAATTCAAAGTATGTGTTTATTTTAGGCTTAAATACCATAGAAAATAACTTTCCTGTGTGAAGGCTTATGAGGTGATTGTATTTAGAGTAGTGTCCCTCAGGAAAACCCACTGGTACTATGTTGATTTAACCTTGTTGCAGATGTATTGGTAAAGGTGGCTGTGCAAACAGTTCGTTTGAAATCCATTTCTGATTGTGTTCGAGTAATTTAGCATTTTTTTTCTTAATGCTCAGAGATGCTTGCCAAATACTAGATCTTCTGAACTCTGTGAACAAAAATATGTGTACGTTCCACATGCATGTTTCACCTGGTATGTAAAAGTTGACATTATAGGGCTTACCAATATTGGCTCACAGAGTGGACATTGTGGTTAAAGTTGCCAAGTAGTTTCATTGCTTCCGATGGTGTATATGCTTTAATGGACTGATTAGTGACAAAATCTCAGTACGTATATTGGGGGAATTTCCGAGCCCTTGAAATACCTGATTGCTAATCAAGAAGGTGAAAAGTTTTACTCTTGATTTCTAACTGTTTCATTCTGTGGCTGTGAAAAGGAGCAGTTAAAGATGGTAAATATGAAGAAATAACTGTAATCTAGTTATGTTTATCTTCCCTGCGTAGTTCGTATATGGTGAAACCTCAATAAGTAATAGTAATTTTTGACTTAGGTATGGCAAATCTGTTATGTACTCGTCGCCAAATTATTATTATGTACTGGTTGAGAATTTAATAGTCCTGACGCAAGAAAGACGGAAATCAGAAGACCACTAGGTTTGCGATGATACTTCTATTTTCCAAACACAAGGAGAAGCAATAAGTGGTATCACACCAAAGTGTCACAAAAGATTGTGTGAGCGAAATATATATGAATGTCCAGACAAGTGTGTGAACAAATCAATAGACAGTCTTAACATGAATGGCTAATTATAATGGAGTGTCGATCCATATATACATAGCAAAATATAGCAGACATGTCAACAACCACACATATAATATGGATATATGTCACCAAGCAACGGACTGTCAACAAACACTCATATTATATATAATATAAGGGGAATGTACATTGTTAAAGGAGACAGGTTCATCAAAGTGAAATGGTCACAGACTAAGAGAACAATAGAAAGAGAGACCACCATATATATATATATATATATATATATATATATATGGATACATATCAAAATCAAGGGAGATTTTCATCTTCATTGGCTTCTGTGGCTAAAAGACATATTAGCTTTACCAAAGTCTCATTCCTCAATCAAAAATGTTACATGATTATGATAGACATGAAGTCTAATTCTGAGTTTGAACCTCAGAAGACAACTGAGATTAGTGATTACAGAAGTTACTTGACTGAAATGTGATTGCGGTGTTATGTGTGACTGGCATAATTAGGCAGAACTTTGTGAAAGGTGCGTCATATCAAATTGTCACATTGCAATTTGACCTCTTATCATTTTAGAGATGGTGTTTGAGTATTCGTTGTGATAAGCAGTTTCAATCAACAATATGTTACTTTTCTTCTACAGCAAATCTACTCTATTTCAAAATAATTATTGTAAAGTAACTTTATATGGTGGAAGACTTTTATTTCTGCATTCATCCGTTTTGCAGTCTCTAGATTCTTCAGTTCTGACGATTGATCTTAGTTGTTTTTTACTCAAGAGATATGATTTTTTGGGCTTGCAGTGTAGTTTTCATATGTATGCACATAGAATATTCCTTTTATTTACAAACTAATATTATAATTATTCATCTTGAAATTCAGCAGGAAGAAATTAATAACTACAAACATTATTTAGAGCAGGCAGCGAAATCACTGCACTTGGATCCTCAAACCATGGCTTCTCTGAAAACTCTAATGACCGATAGTGTAAGTTGTTATCTTATTGCAACCTTCAATTTTACTGGTGCAAGTGCCGAAACAGTTGATTCTATTTATAGTTAGTATCTCAGAATGGTTTGATGAGAGACGGGATTATTGCTGATTTACGAACATGAAATAGGAGTTTTCCGCTCTTTTTCTGTTGGTATACACGGAACGGACTTTACTTTTTGAATACTAAGTAGAGGTCTTTTTTGTAAGCTTACTAAAGCCCAATCGCCTCCATTATTCCTTGCATATTCCTGTCAAGTTTGCATAACTTTTTTAACTGCTGTATAGTTGTATTTAAAGTCTTTCAGCAGGTGACATTTGTTTATCTGTACACAAAACTGTATTGTCTCAGTCTGTTTTGTATATGAATTGATCCTTCCTGTGTAGTGAATAAAATATGATGCTTATTAAACGGCTATTTCACTTATTCAATACTAGTTGCTTTGCTAATGTCATCCAAAAACTACATGATTGAAAATACAAAGAAATTGTCAATAATCCAAAGATATGCTGATTCATGTTTTGAATGTGAAATACTGCTGCTACTCAGTATAGTGCCTAAAATATTACTCAATAGTTCTACAGTGTGAATTCTTTTTTGTCTATCCAAATCTGTATTAGTTTTTGTACCATTAGCCTTCTTATAGTAAGTGCATTAATCAGCATTTAGTTTGAGTCTACACAGCCTTCTTTAGTTGCACGATTATTTTATGCATACTCAACAGTGTAATACGAAGTAAAAAAATAGTTTTTCTAACTTTTTATCTTTATATCACTTTGTATGAACATAAACATTAAGTGATTTGTCGGTTGGTATACCAAAAATTCGTATATGTGGTTTTACACTTTGAAGGTCCCACAAATTTCATAGTTCTTTCTTCTTGTTGTTTTTCTTATTGATTATATTGGTACTGTTAATTTTATAGATGCTCCTGATATATTTTTATTTCAGATCAATGCAGCTGATTATATACGATTTTGGAATTCGAGTTTACGCGATTTGTCTGATGAAACTAAACGTCGTATAGTTGAAAAGCTTGTGGAAGTTCATTCACAACAAAAGTCACAGTCTGATTCTGATAGTGAAAGTCTTGGTAGTAAAAAGAAACCCTCCAATATGGAATTAGTACAAAAGGTAGTCTGTACTATTCCTTTTTATATGTTACTTGTGTTCAGTCAATAGTATTCAAAATATTTCTTTAATTAGGCTTTTCTGAACATTTGTCTTTGCTTCAGTTGAGTACCTACATTTACACACTAAATGTATCTCATTTGTTGTATTTGCTTCTGGTGTAAGTTTGTGTATTGTGTGGATTCGTCTGTTTTATGATATCATATCCACACAGACGGGAAAAAGAAGGCAACTAACACTTATCACAAAAGTTCAATACTTGAAAGTTCTTCTTCATGTAGTAGTGTGAGAGCCGCACTTTTTGGTTATTTAGGCTGAAGTAGGTGAGACAGTACCAGCGCCTCGTTTCTCCTGTTCATATCTTTGACTTTCCATCTATGTAATTCTGCTCCACCGAAGAATGGTTTATCATACCTAGCACACATATCAATCGTCTTATTCTATATATGTTAACTGTCTCATCGGTTACCTCCTTGCTTTTCGCATAACATTCCGTGTCCTTCCTCGATGTTCATCGCTACACTCTTTCACCACATGAAAACAATGCTCTTTAGAAATGCATCTTTGGAAACCTATAATTTTCACATGAAAAGCCCTGTTTAATAGCTATATCTGACAGCTATGTGTGACTTAGTGTAGTGTGTTTATCATTTAATAGAATGCCGGATATCTAATTTGTTCTATAAACGACTCCAGTTGGAAAAAATTAAGTGAATCTTAGCAATCAACTTACCTGAGCTGATGCAACTTATAAAATATAAGAACTTCTCGGGATTTATGATTAGCTTCTTTTACCTACATTTCCCTTCAATATGTTCGGCGAAATGTATGCTTTCGGTATCTTTGACTAGCAGGGTTACATCGTTTTCGTATTGTAATTCGGTTAAGTGCTCTCTCGCCTGCAAATCAATTCATGTGAAGTTGAAGGTGAATATAGTCAGTCAGAAGACTACATATATAAGAAAGGTATTCAAGAATGAAGATGGTTCATATTCGTGGTGTACACCGTGTTATGTCATTACTATACGTATTAGAAAATTTACTGAAAACGGTATTAGTTAAAGATTCTTAGTCTATATCAAAGTGTAACGCTGATATAACAGTGAATTCATTTTTTCTGGCTTTAGGCTGTTAATCGATTGAGAGAACTCGATTCTTTGCAAGAGAAGCAGTACGAAGAGCATGTAGCTAAAGAGAAAGCTGAAAGAGTAAAACAATTCCTTGAGCTACCTGAAGAAAAACGTGCTGAAATGATTAAGCATTTCAAAGAGGAAGCTGCAAAGCACCGAAAGCGCCCAAAAGTTCATCAACCAGTAAGTGTGAAATGTTTTGCAAATTCATTTTAAGAGGTACTATCTTACTATGTAATCCTTTTTTTTCTCCACAAATAGTTTGTGTAACTTAAGGTTAAGATTCTTTTTTATAGGATCAGTACAATTGTATTAGTTTTCATTATTACATTGCCGAAGGCTATCTACGTTCGACAGATGTTTTTTTCTGCACTAAAGAAAGCAGGTAACCATAGTATTGAAGGTTAAAAAAACATAAGAATTAAACAAAATCAGTATGTTGTCGTAGACAGAAAATCTACCTATAAAGCAAAACAGTTGAAGAAGTAGCAAGTGTTATAAGTTAGACTTATTTTCCTTCTCCAGTTATTAAGTGACTGAATAAACTAGACTTTTTCAAAGTAAACTAGCGCTTCAAAATAACTCAAAGAGATTCAAAGTATACCTTCGTAAACATGGCTACATGTACCGAAGGTATGTACAGATGAATCATCTTGAGACAGATTAGTCAAGAGTGTATTTTGTATGTATGGAAATTTATATTTTAAAAAATTCAATTCAGAAAATTATTACATTGTGGGCAATAAAAACGGATTCGTGTATTCTTAGTAGTCGTTTATGACCTTATTTCTAATTGTTTTTCCTCATCGATTTCTTTCCAGTGGCCGTGAAATATCGAGTATAACTACTGTATAGTTTTGTAGTGTTTGAGGCAGATTTCTAATGAATCGATATAAATTCCAAATAGTTGTGATTTACCACTTTCATAAGAAAACTTTTATCGAGTGGTTTCGCTTTTCAGTTGATATACATATCACACATCCATCTTTCAGTGTTCTCAGTAAGTGTTGACATGACAAGAATTCTTGAAATCCCTTCTGCATACTTTTCCATTGCGTCAAGCCGTGTTACAGATTAAGCATATTTATTCGGTCACCTCAAATACATTTTCTGATTTTAGGGGTATTTATGAATAATATTATCATTATTATTCATTATTGTTACTATTAGTATTAACTCAAGTTATTTTCATCGTAAAAGCAACTGCATTTGTGAATATCATTTCAAGTAAATGTGGTTTGTTGTCCATGTGAAAGTTGTGATTAGTTCGGATTTTAACTCCAACTTAGTGAAGATGTTTAATGCCTAAAATCATATCGTTGATATAAGAATAAAACTTGTGCACTGTGGTAGAGTATAATTCCATTGTGTGTAAAATATATTTTGATAAAGTCTCACAGTGTTATACAGTAATATTTACTGATGACGTTTCGAGTACAATTTATTGCTTATAATCATATCAAGGTACCTTGCTAGTTGACACTCGTTATCAAGGCGTCCCTGCAACCTTGAAGAAACTCATGTTCCTTCTGAAATTCGAACCGGCATCATCAAGTGCTGCAGTCAGAGACGTTACCACTAAGCTATTCGGGTTCAAGGCTTCCTGCCGATTGCCTCCAACTATCTAATATCATCTAATCAATGTGCACCGCGATGGCGAGCTACATAGAATTGTGGCCACATTGCAAACCTGACTGATAGAATTCGATCCGCACCAAACAAAGGACTAGACACATCACACTAGTGTCTAATGAAAGAACTTGTGTTATGTTTATTGGGGACAGTTTTCCTAGTAAACCGTCCCATCAGTATAGTTAAATAAATCTCACCCCCTGATCAAAAGAAATTTAACTAACCTTGGATTTTCGTAGTTGTGTGCTTGCGTGAAAAACGAACGCTGGTTTTCTTCGAGCTAGAGAACTAATATTTATAATTATAATTATTATTTTGAGTATAGTATAAAATCCAATTAACTTTTATTTACTGGAGTTATGAAGAACATTCTATGCTTTATTCCTTTTCTTATACTTTTTAAAATAGGGTAGCGATGAACAGCTTAAAGAATATTGGGAGAAACAAGAGGGTATGGAGAGGGAAACATTTAATCCTCGAACTATGTTTTCTGAAATTGGTAAGGAATAAATTTACTTTACTGTAGCACACACAATTCAATTCATCATACATTCGAATTCTTCAATTTTACTTCCTAGTATTATATTGAATTTTTCTACTGTGATCTGCAATTAAAATTTGAATAATATATTAATTTGACAGTTCTGTACTAAATCCAAACCCTGTAAGGTTTAACACAAGTGGTTATATATATATATATATATATATATATATATATATATATATATATATATATATATATATATATATATATATATATATAGTAGGATAGTAATTAGTACTTTTGAAAAAATAAACAGAATGAGCTAATAAACAAAGCAAATTGCATAAACACACATTTATTCTTTTGTTAGTGTGTGTACTGTAAATGCACACTTCAATGTGTTTCAGTATACTAATAATCTGACTGGCAGTAAATTGTGTAGTACATATGCTTAGAAGACTAATGATGACTGACTTCTAAGCTGATTGATTTCACAGTATTATTATTATTATTGTTCCCTTGGGTTCCTAGTGGAACAAAGGGCTTCGACTGCACGTCTCAACTTGCTTCTGTCTTCTGCTGTGCTTTTCACCTGTTTCAACTCTTCACACAATCTCCTGCATGTCACCCTTGCACTGACGTCCCACTCCCCGCTTCTCTTTCGGGTTCCACTCGAGTAATGGCCTGACGCGGGCGCGATGTCACCCAGCGGCCTCCTCAGCGAGTGTCCAATCCATCACCATCCACTTTCTCCTGCACATTTGTTGAGCGATTGGTTCTTGTATTGTTTGTTCCCATAGTTTCTTGTTGGTGATTCTTTCCGACCCGGCTATCTGATCTTCAGTATAGAGCGAAGACAGTTGTTGATGAAGGTAACGTCTGCAACAGGCTGTTGGAAATATTCTTTGTGACCCACCCGCCAAGTTTATGATCCGTATAGAAGAACTGACTGACTTGACGTTGTTTATATTGAAAATCCGACCGAATTTCGCTGTTGATGCTGAGTGACGAAGATTTCCAGATTGGTTTCAGGTTGATGAATGTGTTTCTTGCCTTCCTGATTCTCGCTCGATTTGACACCCTCGTCCGTTCCTACTGCCTGTAGTTGAGACAATGCTCCCTAGATCAGTAAGTGAATGAAGTAACCTCTTTCAAATCCCCCCGTTGGTGGTGATCGGCGCTGGATGTTGCTGCTCTTGTTGTTGTTGGCTGATTATTTTCATCACCTCCGTCTTGTCTATGTTCACATGGAGTCCTGTCTTCGCCGGCTGCTTCTTCGACCAGTTTGTCAGTTTTCGCTTGTAAGCTTTCGATTTTGTGTGAAATGAAACATAAATCATCCACGCGCAAAATCCAGGTCTTCTAGGTTCTTCACGTCGGTTCAGGATACCCCTGTCTTCTCGTTTCCCACTGTCTGACGCCTAATCCAGTCAGTCCTCCACAATCAGGAATATCATAGGTGATAATAAGCACCCTTGTCTGACTCCTGTGTTTACTGCAAACGCCTCACTGAGTTTTCCGTCGTGGATCACTTGACATGTGACGTTGTCGTACAGTTGTTGAATAAGGTTGATGAATATTTGGAGTACGCCTTAGTACTCGAGTTTTTTTCCAAATACTACTATAATAATGTCATTAAAGAAAGATTATACCCCAATAGTTTGAATTCGTTATCATATATCATCATATATGTATGTTTCTTTGTCAGTCATGTAATGGAATATGATAAGATTAAGTAGATTGATAATGAATATTCGGATGTTCTAGTGAGAAGTTGTAACCGTTGAAATCAACAAAGGGGTGTGTGTGAAGATATTCACTCACTGATGATGATATTAAATAGTCAGAATGAAATTTCGCTAATTGGAAAAAGTTGAATCATCATGCTCCATAAAGAACAATGCTCGCATCGAAAGCTGATGATCAAGGTCTAGATCATTCGTAGCATGTAGGGGTTACACACTTTAGGTGATGGTGAACTAAGAATGCTGTTTAGTTTTCAACGGTTCTGTGGCTGGTTTTAACTCTAAGGCAAAAGGCATTTGGAAAAATGATGAAAATTGTTACAAAATTGTTGTCTATTCTAAATACTATATGCTCTGCATCATATTACTCGAGATTCAGTATAATAATTCAACGAACTTTCAATTACTTAAATGCAAGAATCCAATGAATTACGAAAGAAAAGCAAGTCACCACTTATATCAGAATTGTCTAGCGAGGTGTATCATAATTAGCTGTATGAAGTAGTCGCACAAGCGTATCCCTTTCCATTAATGTAGATGTGATTAGGTGGACAGTGAGTCCGTTTATATTTCATAGTAGTATTGGTAGTAATATGCAGTTAATTAGTATTTGATTACAGGATTTCATCATGAGCTAACATCTGTTAGAGAACCATTGGAAAACCTGGGAGTACTGGACAGCTGTTTCGTCCTAGTTTGGGACACTTCATCAGTACGCGTACTGATGAAGAGTCCCAAACTAGGACGAAACAGCTGTCCAGTAGCCAATCAAATCCCAGAAACCAACACTTGATTAGTATTTGTTTTTTTTAGAGTCTTGAATTGAGATACAGGCATTATTTGAGCATAATTATCAAGCAGGGGGGGAGATAATAAAAACTTGTAGGCTTCATTAATCTGTTGTTTAATGGTAGTCAATCATATAAATGTTGTCTAGTTCATAAGTTTGATGTTTCTTCTTTAATTTATTCAATAAAAAACTACAGATTTGGATGGAGATGGTTATCTTAGTGTTGAAGAAGTTGAAGCTGTACTACAACGAGAAGTAAGTTTTACTGAATTGCTCATCTTCAATGTTTTCAATCAAAAAAATATAATTTCATCTTTTACAGTAAAATATTCACTAAGGTGGAATGTTGTTAAAGTGTGTGTGAATATGAATGTGGACTGTGAGTAGACAGTAAAACTTTAACTACACCAGGATGGAATTCATCGATTATTAAACTGTGTAAAACTGTAACAACAACAGACAACATACAGCATAAATGGGAGGAACCTGAAAGAAACAACCTCCTTTACCCACCCACCTACCTGGGAAGCATCGTTTCAACTACAGGCGGGCGAAACTGACGAGGATATCAAAGCAAGAATCGATAAAGCAAGCCAAGCTTTCATATTACTCTCAAGTCTGTGTGTAGATCAACAGCACTCAGCATCAAAAACATGATCCGGATTTTCAACTCCAATGTGAAGTCAGTTCTACTTACTATACGGATCAGAGACTTGCACTGCGCGTCATAAAGAGCATCTCAAACAAACTACAGTCCTTCATTAACAGTTGTCTTCGCTCAATACTCAAGATCAGATGGCCGACCAGAAAAGATCAGAAACAGGGATGGATCTCTGGCAATGAGCGAACCAACTCAGCAGGAACCGATTGTGGAACAAATAGGCAGGAAGAAATAGAGGTGGATTGACCGTACTCTGAGGAAACCCTCAAGTGACATCACTAGATAAGCCATTGCTCGAGTGGAACCCGAAAGGGAAGCGGGCGGCGAGTTGGTCGTCAGTGTGAGAGTGGCTTGGAGGAGGTCATGTGAAGAAGAGATGAAAGCATGTGGGCAGACGTGGAGCCAGGTAGAAACTTGAGCAGAGAACCGAACGCGCAATGGAGACGTTTGGCTGCAGCCCTATGTTCCTCTAGGAATTAAAGGAAATAGTAATAATAAAACTGTTCCTGTTATTGTTGTTAATAGACTGTTCTGAAGCCTAGATAAATGATGAAGTAGTTTTGATTTACAGAAATTAACAGTATTGAATTAGTTGTACTTGATAACGACGAAAGTGTGTTCAGTTGTGCTTCAGTAACAAAATTGGATTTCTTCATCATTTCTTTGAATTTTTTTAGCAATTACACTTTATGTTTAATAATACTACTACTAATAATAATCATTCAGAATTATTTCATTAGTAGGCTATATGACGATGACTATACCTAACTGTTTTGCAGCACAGAGTCCTATTTCAGTTAATAATATTGGTCATCGAAGTAGCTGGTGGATCGTTATGCGTAGTACATGTTGTGGTCATTTTATAATCGATAGCGCTTAACAACTTGCTTACTACAGTTAGTAGGATAGTGATTAGATAAAGAGGCATGACTCATGAATTCATTAAATGTCTTGTTTATAAATTGTAGTTAATAGTAGATTCTGTTCAATAACTATGAGGTCAAGTGCATAAGTAAGGGTCATTCATATGTTCTCAGATCATAAGCATTTAGCTAAGTCTAATATAATAAATCAAATCATAAACACTGAAACATACATACTAGGGTGGAACAAAACGGCAATACTAAAACTAATCTATTTTTTGTACTGAGAAAGATTAATCATAAAATCTTTTCTCACGTAATCAACGACAAATAATATCGTGTCTTTTCAGTCTTTCATGCATAGTTTACGTAGATATAGTCGTGTACATTCAAAAATAAAAAGGGATTAGGTGTCTTTATTCAAACAGTTGGCTCATTTGATCTTTGATCAGGTTAACTAGATAGATTTTATTAAAAACCTACAAAAGTTTCTCAAAATCTCATGCTCTCTGGTGACTTGCTACAGGACGGAGTTTCCTGGAGTTCTAGTGAGAAGTTGTGACCAGTGAGGTCCAACCAGTCAAGTGTCAGGATGGATTTCCCACTGATGACATTAGATGGCAGTCGTGCTAAATCACGAATTGGTAGAAGTTAGAATTCATGGACAGGCCATTGAATCGGGTTCCAGTGGTTGAATTGTATGCGAGCTTGCCTCGTAACTGGAAGGTTTTGGGTTCGAACCCCACTGTGGTGAGTGCGTACTGCCGATGATTCCCAAACTAGGATAAACAGCTATCCAATACTCCCTGGTTTTAAATGGCACTCTAACTGATATCAATCTGTGGTCAAACTCGTAAAAATGTATAATTTGCTTTTCTTCAAAATGAGCGCTTATATGTAAGGTTTAAAAATTTGAATCAACAACTTTTTTTGTTTCACTTACAAGTGCGAGGTTTCACACTGAGACAGCGATTGTCAATGATACTTAAAATATGGTTTAAGCGGTGTTATAATTTATTCGCGTTATTTGAAATTCATTGAAACTGATTTCTGCATTATGTAAACCTTTTTACTAATGCATGGGGGTATATCGAGTTTTTAAAAAAAACTGTCGTGTCTCACATTTTAACTCAAATCGCGGTCATGCTACTTTCAGATGAATTCAAATAGTCTATGAGTGTTCAGTAGCATCGTTTAATGATAATGTTAATATCATACAGAAACACCGGTTGCAGTATTGGTAGTGTATCTTGTGTGCTCTACACATGTGTTGCGAAAAAACTCACACAAATGTGTAAACAACTTAGACTAACATCTTTCCAGTCACTGCTTTATTTGATCAGTTGTATATGGCGAACTTAAAGGCTCATAGCCAAAGTCTAGGTCTTTCAAAAGTTGACCTTCAAGAACCGATCAAACATAGGGAGTGCTATGAAACATCATTCCAAATCAAATCATGTCTGCCTTTTTGGACTTGGAAAGGATAGATACAGTATTCTACTTATTTACTAGGTACTCTTTCTGCAGACCTACACTGTCAGGTAGGGTTATGGCGTTTAAGATTAAAACTTAGAGTCTAGGGTTAAGGTTATGTTTAGGGTTCAATTTAGGATTATGATTAGAGGAGTAGGTTGGAGACTACTGTGAGAAACATCAATAGATCTCAAAGTAACATGACCTACAGTCATCTGTATAAATAGGTATATCGTGCATGGTACGATTTCTCTATAGATCATCTCTGTATTGACTGGGAGACATTCTTGCAACATATAAGCTACAAATATACAGTGTAATATCAAGTTTGCAATTTTTTAGTGTATTTTTCTACGATTATGCAACTGTTTTGCGTCGAAATTCTGATTGGTTGCTCAAGGTCACTGTGGTTTTGGCTATGATAGTTTCACTTCGCTCTGTATATTTATAGTGTTATTTCGTTGTTTTAGAATAATTTGAAAGCAGATATCTTTCGGAGACTAATATAGTTTCTACCTTTTGTAGCTCGATAAAGTTTATGATACGAAAGACCCAGAATTCGATCCATTGGAAGAAAAATACGATCGTAACAAAATGAGACAGAAGTTTATGGAACATTACGATACAGATGGAGATTATTTTGTTTCTCTTGATGAGTTTACAAAGGGTTTAGAATCAGCTGCTGTAAAAGAGGATGATGAGTGGAAGGTTAGTTAACTGTGAAAGGCCTATGATGTTGTTTCACATTTACATTTTACATGTGTGCGAAAGTGTCTTCTGACATCACAGTTTATTGTATGTGTGTGCATTTTAGTCAGCTAGTTTTTCACTTTCTAAATTTTCAATGGGAAAGAGATTAAATTCGAGTAGGTTTAGACAATTCATATGAGTATTCACTCAGGACTAGCATTAAATAGATCATAGTTTATTTCCTTTTTTCGGGAAATCCGGTTAACTCTACCAAACTGAAGAATTGTTCAGAGAAAACGCTATTTTGTTTATCTGCATTTACATGATGTGTGAGCGCTTTTTTGAAGACGTACACAATTTAATTAATTACGATTGGTATACTAAATAAAGCATCTGAATTTCAGCTACTGTGTCCTGGTTTCCTATTCCGCTCACCCCACCTTCAGGCTGAGGGTATCAGTAGATATCATAAGTCCTCAGATAGCGAGTGTGGCTTATATCATGGCACATGAAGAAAGCTACCCTGATCAAGTTATTTCCAGCTTTTCACTGTGACTACAATGAATGAAGTATACTGACTAGTTTCAACACAGAACTTTCCACAGATGTGCAGAAGTTCGAGTCACCACACTTCACTTAGCATACAAACAGAAGAAAGTAAAAAGAAATGCAAAATACAGACAGTAAACAGAGATATGAGGCAAAAACAATAGTATTACCGAAGAACCATATCGTTTTATTGGGCATTATAAGTCACAAGAAGTGGATGCATCTGAGCCAGCCATTGAGAACAATTTTGAGTCATATCACCAATTGTCTCCAGCCATTCACCGTGTTCACTGTCCCGAGGACTCCAGCCAAGCTGGTTGTCTACACTTCCGTAAATGGCTGACTTAAACTAACTGTTGTGGACCAAATCGATTGATGAGGCCATGTTTTGGTTTGACCACCACTAGCCAACTCTTTCCCAACCTGATCAATCTTATGTCAGCTAACATTGACTGTCGAGGAAGGCGATGGCTAGACTGATGCCTAACCTCAGTATTTCCCACTCTACTATACCACCTAACACGAGAGATAGAACGCAGACACCTATGATCAAAGACAGCTAGCCACCCTCTTCATGTCGGTCGTACCATATATCGCGAGCTGATAGAAGCTAGAATTCATAGACCACTGGAAACCGTCCCATTTAGCTCAATGATATTCGAGCTGACCTTGTAATCTGAAAGTCCTGGGATCATGAATTCGTACTGATAAAAAACTCCAGACAAGGATGAAACAACTGTTTAGTACTTTCTAGTTTCCAGTGGTGTTCTCTAACTACTGTCATTTCGTTCGTGACCAATCTTGAAATCAATCAAATCGCTGCAAATGAACACACTTGAAAACATTTGATGGCTATATTGAGAAGTTTTTGTTGAACACTCCTCATCTCAACTTTTAATGTGAAATGGATTTGCTCATACTATTTGTCATATTCATTCACCATAATTTATCTTTTTTTGCATTGTAGACGGCTCAAGACGAAGAGGATATGTTCGAGACTAATGAAGCAGAATTGAGGAGACTAGCCAGTGAAGCACAACAAAAACAACAAGCACATGTTACTGAACCGTCACATCCGTCGTCGTCGTCATCATCAACACCTACTCCAAAAGTTTAAGATGAAAATATTTTCTATTTTTTTGATCATTGAAATTTTTTCTTTTACTCACATTTTATGAATCGTGCAATTATACAACAAATTAACGATCGTATTGAACACTGAGCAATCATTAGTTGTTTTAATTTTTTTGTTTGTTTTTATTCCTCACCTTGGTTCTGTCTCTAAATATGATTATTATTTACAGCGCTTTGTCTTGATGATTAATCAGTGTTATTGACACTGTACACTTCACTTCACTTGTTTTTAATGCTTAGTCTCCCTCCTTTTTTTAATGCTCTGAATTCATTTCCACCTTAATTCTGTTTTATTTCTATTTTAAACAAAATGTTTATTTAAAGATTTTAGTAATCAATAAAGGTTCAGGAAGTTTATGGTTTTCTTTCTCTTTTTTTTCAATGTTTATATATAGTCATGAAATTATAGTATATATAGAATTAGTATAATTATAGTATTATTTACATTGTTGTTACTCATGAGCACATTTATTCTTTTTCTTCTATATATATATACACAATATCGTTTTCTATTGTGTTAGATGGTCTGTCTGTCTGTTTTCAACAGCAGTTCAAGTCCGCCACACTCCATGTTAGAGGGTGGAAAAAAGAAAACCAAGACACAATGAGAATGACCTTTTATAGACACATGTGTACAATGTGCCAGCTCATAATGAAATTAAAAAAACAACAACATAAATATAGATGAAGTATTGAATAAAAGTGTAATACTAAAGAATAGATAGATATGGTTAAAATATTTTGTAGACACATCGATAGATTGTCACCAATTAGAGCTCAAACTATCTGTCTGTCTGTCTGTCTGTTTTCGACATAGAACTTTGCACAAATGAGCGACAGTTCGAGTCGCCACACTCCATGTAGCACACAAAGCAAGAGAAGAAAGTACAAGAAAAGCATAATAGAGACAGTAAGCAGAGGTGTGAGAAAAGGAATAGTAATAACGAAGAACAAAACAGTTTCATTGGAAATCACAAGTCACAAGGAGTGGATGCATCTGCACCAGCCATTGAGAACGATTTTGAGCCATGTCACCAATTGTTTACAACCATTGGTTTTTACCGTCCCGAGGACCCCAACCATCCAGGAAGTCTACACCTTCCTACGTGGCTTAGACTAACTGTTGTAGATTTCATTGACTAGTGCCATGTTTTGGTTTGACCGCCACTAGCTCTTTTCCAGCCTGACCCTATATCAGCTAACATTGCTCGTCGAGGAAGGCGATGACTAGGCATACGTTAACACATGTCCTAACCATCTCAGTCTATATAACTTCACAACCTCGTCGACTGATTTCCCCTCCTTACCTAGAACTCGGCGCCTAACCTCAATATTGCTCACCTCATTATAGGAGTTCACACGGGAGATAGAGCGCAGGCACCTATGATCAAAGACAGCTAATCTTTTCATGTCTTCCACTCCCAGTAGCCAGGTCTCACAGCCATGAAGGAGGACGGAGCGGACTGATGAGCAGTACACCCACCCTTTGGTCGATAGTCGAATATCTCGTCTACGCCAGAGATGGTGTAAACTGGCAAATGCGAAACGAGCCCCCTGTATTCGTGCTGAGATTTCGTCAGAGATCAACCCGTTGGCACTGGCTGATGGTACTTCCCAAATAAGTGAAGCGGTCAACGTGCTCTACCACTTCACTTCCTATTTTTAAACTAGGCGTCGATGTAGTTCAGTCCTGTAACATCATCTTGCATTCGGCGGGAGCGAATCGCATTCTAAAGATTTGTAGATTGCAGCTCAAGGTGTTTAGAAGACTCTGCATTTTGTCAGAGTCCTCGCCTAGAAGGACTATATCGTCTGCATATTCTAAGTCAAGGAGATTATTCCTTGGTGGCAAGTCAATCCCTGAGTCGCTCAAACTATCTAACTGTTTAATATGAGATAATTATATAATTCTAGTGCAATTTGTCGGTGTCTAAACATATCATAATAGGAATGGTTAGAGCTCTTATTTGGGTGAAATTCATTCCCAGGAGTATATTTGCAGTATTGTTACTCTTGATGATGAACTCCTATAGTAAATCATAACAAATGTTTGAATGTTTTGTAAGAAATTTGGTTTAGCGCAAGAGACAACCCATAGCGATCAATCAACATGTGTCAGCCACTTCCAAAGCTAAAAAATAAAAATTGAACTGTCATTTTTACACTCTAATACCAATTAACCAGTAATCTAAAGCCTTCCTAACTATTTGGGTTTAATAAAAAAGTGATAAACTTCTCAATCGATTCCATTGTAGGTAAAATTTATTTTGATGAAGTCTCACAATGTTGGAGATATGTGGATGACACTTTTACAGTTTTGAAAACAGAACATATCTCTAGTTTGCTGACACATATAAACTCACTAGCAAAGGGAATGAAATTTACATTTGAATCGGAAAATGAACAGGAAGAATTAGCTATGTTAGATTGTAAAATAAAACGAACAGAGGAAGATAAACTGCACACAAGTGTTTATAAAAAACTAACGCATTCTAATAGATACTTCGGTTTTAATTCATCTCATCCGTTAACTGTTAAGGTAGGCTTAGTTAAGTGTCTAACAAACCGAGCAATACCACTAACTAGCACAACAGAAAACCTAAACGATGAAATGAAACAGATCAAAGAAGCGTTGGTGTCTAATAAGTATCCTATAAAATTCATCAGGAATATCAAAAAAAAGCCAAAAGCAAAGTAAAAATAATGGCGAAACTAGTAATGATAACATAAATAAGAAAGAATGTAAGGAATCTACACTTTTACCACATAAGAAGGGGACATCTGCGACCCGCGTAGGGTTCTTAATAAAGAAGGAATTAGGCTGGCATTTAAACCTGCAAACTCACTCAAGTAGGAAGAGCTCTGCAGGTTAAGGTACCCGGTGGACCCAATTAGACAAAATAATATAATTCACAAAATACCCTGCAGTGACTGTGAGGTCAACTACACAGGCCAAACTAGGAGATCGGAGGTAGTCAGATTGTCGGAGCATAAGGATTTAGCTAAGATTAGAATGTTTGACCCCGATTGCACTGCGTGCATTATCACACAATAGGGTGGGAGAGGGTTAAAATTCCAAAAAGTAATACAGTAGTTACGTGGAGAGAGAGTTTGATCACTGAATCCTGGTTCATCGAATAATTTACACCCAACACGTGCAACAGGAATGACTCATCACCCATATCGGAAATATGAAATATACTACTACCAATCAAGTCAAGCTGTGAAAAATAATGGAGTTATATAAACGAAGTTAGAAAGTTGTGTGAGTACGTCGATTTGATTATGATTGGTAATAAATTGTGCTCGAAACGTCAACGGGAATTTTACTGTATAACACTGTGAGACTTTATCAATATAAACTTTACCCATAATGGAATTGTACTCCACCGCAGTGCACAAGTTCTATTCTCATTCTCAATCGATTGTGTAACACGGTTAAATACAATAATGCTAAAAGGTAAAGCGAATAAAAATACAGTATATAATACACAAATGGAAGAAAAAGCCTGAATTCTTATTAACTATAAAATTTAGCGCTTCAAACTATGTGTTCCCGTACACAATCGGAACCCGACTTACTTAACTCAGGCCTGTGACAGTAAAGTTGGGAACCTGCTTAAGCAACAACCCATTATATTTTATGAGAATTCTTAATTAAGTTAAGTGTTTAGCGTACACAATCGCCCCACAGTTTAGGGTTACTAGAGATATCCATATCGACAAACACTGATTCATTGGATCAAAGCAAAAGAGTGGGTGGTATTCCAGGGTGGAGAAAACAGTGTCTTCCCCTAATGACTTGCTTTGTTGTTAATAACATAATTTTAGCCCTTTTAGTTCTCCCTTATACTCTCTTATCTGTACTCTGTAGTGAACAACCTTCTTAAACATACTTAGCTACCTAAAATTATTATCATTGGCCTACTTTTTTATTCTTTATTCTATTCCTTCTTTTGTGTATCTACTGGTCCTGACTATATTAGCACTATGAGTATTACAAAATTATCCTGTCAATAACCTTCATGTAACATTAATTTTGTGATTGTTTTTTTTCTTTTTTTTTGTTCTGCAGTATTAAAACTAACAATCTTGGTTGTGAACGCCGTTATCACCATCCTAAAGTTTTTGTATTATGCATGATTACTCACACTACCACAACAAACACTGCATTAGTACTGACAATTAAAAAAAATGAAATGTTTATGATTATTTAGTGTTGTTCAATCAAATTAACTGATCATCTTGGCTATAAACATTCTTAAGAATATCTTATAACTTCTTGTATGATTACAGCTGTTACTGTTCACCACGCATACACATATCATAGCTTCCACTACCAAATACTGAAATATTTTTCATTATTGGTGTTTACCTTCCTTTCTACTTGGTATTTTTATTTGCATTTTTTGTTTTTTTTAATATTTTTTTTTGTAATACTCCTTTTAAATATGCGATGAAATTAGATGCAATATTGTAGATATGTGCTGAAAATTCCACACTGTACCTCTAGTACTGTTTCTGGAATAAAAGCATTATTATTATTACTATTATTATTATTATTATTATATTATTATTATAGGATTATACTGTCTTCTGTTACATCCGTTTTGTGAGAGTGCGACAAGTTCACAAAACTAGGCTATACTTGTTTTCATGGATTATACCTTTATCATATGTGACGAGAATACCGACATCGAAATGATAACTAAAGAGTTCAACAGCTGTCATCATGTCATCTGATTCACGTCGCAATCAGAGATAAACTCGGAATTCCATTTTTTGGATCTTTTTCTAAAAAGCAGATCTGATGGTTGCCTTCGAAGGTGGATCTATAGGAAACCAACATGGAAAGCTCAATACACAAATTTTCATAGTTGGGTCCCTTTGAAAAGAAATAGAAACCTGATCCACTCCTTATACTCAAGAATAAGAAGGTTATGTGCCAGGGTACAATTGATGGGGAACTGGAGCAACTCAGAC